CTCTAATCACATGGTACCCCAATCCTTCTACCACCCTCACCATATTGTCTTCATTCATGAACATTCTTGTTCTTCTGCATGAAGCAACGACTATATTCAATGTTCTGGGGTGTTGAACACTAAAAAAAAAGTTGTGCAGCTCGTAGATGAACAAACTAAAACTTTTAAGCAACTTTTCAAATGAAAATTAAATAAACTAAAACTCGCCTTTTCTTTCTTAAATTTCACAAAAGAAATGCATTTCGCACGTAGACCTGCATTGCTTGAACGTCTTCACCTTCTGATCCCATTCTCAATGATCGAACCTCCTTCTTTTCCTGCTCTTCCTCCTTTTTGTTCTCTTTGTTGCTCTCGAACATCCTAACTTCCTCAACAATCGTCTCCTTCACCTTCTCGCTACTAGTCCCAATAGCATTGGCGTCGGCCCTGAACCACTCTCGGCAATTCGATTTTGCTTCGGCAAATTCAGCTCGGCATCCATCAATGCCTGTAGGAGTGATGCGATGTTGGCAACTGTCTTCCACATTGAAGTTCCTTGCAGAGAATTCTAGCATTCTAGGGCTTGAATTCGCAGTTTCAACTCAGAGATTTCTCGGAAGAGCGCTTCTTGTTCTGAATTCCAGCACGATTCTTTACGAATCCATCGTTGCTCTTCGTGGAACCATCGTTACTCTTCTCTGAGCCATCTTATTTCTTCTCTGTCCCAATCCAACGGATTTAAAGACGACGAAGAAGCGAAAGATGGAAACCTTTTGAGATTGAGTGAGAAGAACTTGCGAACTTGAAACGGGGTGAATTTAAGGTTTGGAGTGTTTCAAAGCCCATGAAATAATATTGACTGAAGAGGGTGGAGTCGGAGAGGAATGGAGGACACCATAGAAGGCCAAATGAATTCCAGAGAGGAACGAACTTGAAACGGGATGAATTTTTGCATCCAGTTTGACCGGACACGTCCAGATAGATAATGACCAAAGTCCCATTAACGTTTGAATCTCCGAGCCCCATGGACGTGTCTTTATCTAATTGACAGGTTCACACGTTTGAATCTACCAGTCCCGTTAACGGGTGCACAGAACGCGGGCTCCGTAGTTCCGATTTCCGGTAGCGGTGCTCGAAGAACAGCTGAAGTGAAACTGACAACTGTAAAAGTTATGCATCACTGCAATATAACGTGTAGAAGGCTAGGAGATCACATTGGCGCCTCACGTACACATCTCACCGTGAATTGAGACTGAGACATCTCCCAGATGTTCTCAATTCACGGGTGAGAGGTCCTGTGGGGCGCCGATCTTATCTCGAAGGCTAGAAGCCGATGAACATGTAGTTGGAACTTGGAGCGCGCGCGGGAACAAACCCTCGTAAGTCGTAACTAATTCCTGATGTGCGGTGCGGATAGTGTATTGTGGGTACTGGCCTACTGGGTACCGTGTACGTATCGTCTTTTGACTCTTTGTGGGTAATCCAACTTAGGCTGTGTTTGGTTCGAGTGCAATTTTATTTGTATTAATACAAATATAAAAAGTGTAAATGAAAAAAAATGCAAATTCTCATTTAATTTTATTTTATTTTGCTTTATGTCTTAATTAATTTCATTTGCACTGAAATCAAACAAAATAAACTAAAATTTGAAACAAAAATAGATCAGAATTTACACTTGAATTATTTGCACTGCCATAATTTTGCATCAGTGCAAATTTATTTGCATTGCAACCAAGCACAACCTTATGGATGCAACTGCATCTAAATCCAATCCCATTGGCATTATTAAATTCTCAAATTTAATCAATACGCATTACTAAAAAAAATTAATCAATAAGAAGTTAATAGAAAACGATCATACCAAAAAGAACTGGTATGGGTGGAATTGCACAGATATTCCAGTGTGTTCAAACACACCTGGAAGATTATGCGTGGATCGGTGGATGTTATACAACCAAATGAATATGTATAATTGGCATTGTTTGAATGTTCCTAATCATACATTTATGTCCGGCAATAGGTGGCCCATACCGGCCCAAATCCATCTTGGGCCAGATGTCCCTTATACGACCCCCTATGCTAAGCCCGGCCCAACCCAACAAACTGTTTATAACTGCCACAGCTAGTAGGGGGTGTACATAGACCGGCCTTGGGTCGGCCCCTTCAAACCTGTGCAACAGATGAACCCTGCCTGAAATTAGACCCCTGGTTATCATTTTATTTTAGGTCACTCTCCTTGAGTTGGAGCTTTGAAGGAAGCTCCTCATTCCTGAATCTCAACTGTATTTACTACTTTAGGTCACCCTCCTTGTCTTGATTAGTTTGTACTCTCTCTCTCTCTCTCTTCCAAGTTTCAAGTCAAGTCTTTCAATCTTATTCAAGCAATCTTCTTCAAATCTTATATACCCTTATGACCGAAATTAACGAGAAGGTCAACTAGCTGGTTTGCCTCCCTAGCATGTTATGACTGCACTCGTCCATCTCCCCGCTATTCTCCACTAGTCTCCAAATGTCTACAACGATGCCTTCGATGATAACTCCTGGAGTCTTCTTGATCTTCTTGTTAATGTCCTGAATGATGAGTTTTGAATTTTCTTCAAGCAGCAAGTGGGAATGGGATCCGATCCATCACTCTTTAAACATCTTTTCTAATCAAATATCACTCCTAGTCCTAGCTAATTAAAATTTTCACTGTGATATTAAACTTAACCCACGGATATATGATAATATGAACATTGGCATTGGGATATTCACAGTGAGGCATCCATGAGCATGACTCATGATCACACCAATCCACTTTTATCAAAGGTTAAAGTTTGGAGAAAGTAGCAGCAGTCAAGCCTCGAACACGCAGCCTACTGCCTACCCTGCTTTTAGGCTTTAGGGTTTGATTGGGCCCAAAAACTGGGCTTTTTAAGGTCATGCCCAAAAGACAAAATCTGCGTTGGGGGGTTGGGCAACCGCTACAAGGCTCTCTGGGCCACAAAGTCTCCCAACTATCCAGGTGGAGGATTTCCGTGTAACCTGGAGTTTGTTTTCAATACGGATAGTCCCGCCAAACAAACTAGGAGGGGAAAGACTGGCGCGGTACATGTGGCAGCTGAAACAATAGGTCTGTCTCATTCACGGCCAGCCAGACAATTTTAAGTGTAATTATCGAAGCATCAACCTCACCTCACTGGTCACAACCCTTTATGAGGTTGACGACACGGGTATTTCCACCCATCAGACGACACGTGTTGTTGAGATACATTCCGTTCTGTAGTGCCGTAGGAAACTTGAAATTTTAATCCCGGAGAAATACATTGCAGTCCACTACAAAATTCTGAAATTACAGCCCCATGGTCTATTAGTAGCCCCTATAAATCGCATCCTACTTGTGAATTCGGTATCAATTCACGGTCAAGATTCATCCTGTTGGCGTCAACGATGCTCGCCGTCGTCGTCATCAGTTGGTGGGTATCTTGACGTAAACCAATAATTAAACTGCCGGAGCAGGTGCTGGAGCGGGAGGGTCACATTGACCGCTGAGCCAACCAAATGATCAATGACTAAGACAGACAGGTAGTTGGTAGCGGACTTGGAACCTAGTCATCATCCCTGATCCATGCCGTGTCGTCCTAATCAGAACCTTTATTGCACATGACAAAAGTAGAGTGGATGACTGCCATGCCAGCCGGTTGACAGTGAGTCCATTTGTCAACATACACGTGGCCGGGGGCTTCCTCTCTCTCTAAAAAAATTAAGGTGGAGCTTCCCATCTCTGTTCCTTGTTTTTGGTTGCTTATCTATTTTATTTTATTTTATTTTGTTGGATCCAGACGAGATGAGGACAAAAACATAACCGGAGAAACGTTGTTGAGATAAGTAAGCAAGATGGGCGTTCGCCTTAGATAAGGCTATTTGAGATCATCCACATTCTTCTTGCATACATTGATAATTGTGCAACAATATGTATCTATCACTTTGGAAATTTTTCCACATTGACTGGGACTATTCTGTCTGTGTGCCCGCCCGACTGCAGTAATTAGCCAGGAACCTGCCACTAAATTACAAAGCTTCAGCTTCTTAATATGATTATTTTATCTATGGAACTCATAGACTCTTGGCAGCCGGAATGTTTCTTGGTATGCCTAATTCTTAGAAATGTTTTACCTGGCTGAAGTCATCCCAAATACATGTCAAAGATATCAAGGACCATTTATCATCTTTAATTTTGTCCATTTCTTCTTAAGTTGAACAGTACTTGAACGCATGACTGGATAGAAGAAGGGGCTGGCTCATGACTGAATTTCCTTCATGTTTGCAAAATTTTAATTGAATCAGTCCTCCATGCTTTGTTTCTGTGTAACCATACTAAACTTGTCTGGTTTGGTTCGAATTTCAATTACAGAACAGACCAGGTTGCTTCTTTTGCTTTGTATTAGCCCAAACAGCTATTATTTTATGGATTGTCTAGAAAGGTAGAAACAGACTTGTTTTTGAAAATATCTTGCCTGATCCAAGAACTTTCTTTATTCTTTGTAACAGTTACTGGAAGGAGAGGAGGATTATTTTGCTGAACAAATGGCAAAATTCTTCACAAGTGCTTGTAGATAATAGCTCGGAGTCTATTTGGAAGCATTCTCAGGAAAATATTTTGAAAGTTAATGTAGATGGAAGTTCCGTTAAAGAGGGACTAGCTGCTTTTGGAGTGGTTGTAAGGAATCATTTTGGTTGGGTCAGGGCTGTTTACTTTGGATTGTGTAATTGCACCTCTCCTATTCAGACAGAAGCTTTGGCTTGCTTAAAAGGTGTCCAACTAGCCAAAGAATCCGGGACCGCTGCAACTTTCAACAGAAAACCGGGGCCTCGTTGAATAGCCCCGGTGAAAAAACCTGAAAATCAGGGGTTTTTTTTTATCAGATGGGTATTATTTTGAAATTTTGATAAATAATAAAAGGCAAATTTGACATTTCATTTCCTTCCATTAACACTTAACGACGATAACAATTGTTAAAAAACTTAAGGATACCGCAAAACAATAGCTAAACAGTAAGGATACCACATGTCATTATGCTGAACAGTAGGGGTAGTGTAAAAGATTTACCCTAAAAGTAAAAGACAGTCATGTTAACCTTTACATTCTGTATAATGTGAACCACATTTTTCATTTTTATTATCAACTCAAGAGAAGGCTCCATCAACCTCAACAATCCAACCTTTCTTGTCCTCAACAAGACCCATTTGAATGCCTGTAAGGTTTAAGTACAGTCTCTGTGACACTGTCCCAGCTCCAGTTTTGTACACAAATCTGCACAAAAATTGAACGAATGCTCAAAAAAGTTAGTTATAGATTATTAAGATATGAAGCATCAAACAGACTACTCAATCTATTCAAGTATCAGTCTTTTAACTTTTATTTATTTGATAGGCGCATGGAGACATTTTTTGGGAAATTCATTGTTGATCAGCAACCAATTTAGAAAATTCATGTCATAGCTCCAATGGAGCAGTTATTTCTATAACTTGAAGCTACAAATTCTGTTTCCTTTTGAAAATTATTTGTCCTAAAAACCATAATATAAAAGGGCCACTACCCAGTGTTGGTACTAGCTATCCAGGCCCTTGGAAATGGTGGCTGGATATGAACCCAATCCTTGGCAATGTTCGCACAAAGTGGCTGCTCTTAGACTCAAACCCAAGTTCTCACAATTGTCATCTTGAGACTTTACCATTGCATGAATCAATTCAATGGATGATCCTCTCCTAAGAACCACAATCAATATGATTGTTTACCTTTTTCCCTGATATGTAATGCTCCCTACTTGAGCAACAACAACTGCAGTTCCTGTGCAGAAAACTTCATCAGCATCAATCAACTCATCAACTGGAACAGAACGTTCTTCAACCTGATCAAGTTCATAAAGATCGTATAAAGTTCTATTGAATAGCCACATAAAATCGAGCTAGACCTCTTTCAAGGAACAAGGAAAAAAATATATTAAGGTTCTTCTAGGATAAATGATTTGAACTGCCAGCAAATTCTTTATCAGAAAAACAAGACCACATGTTGTGAAACTCCTTGCTTTGTAATATTTTGAGAAATTGACACTGATTGCTTCAGCACTGAAGCTCAATTTCATCTTCTAGAAATACCTCTTACAGTTAGGAGTAAACCACCCTAATATGCTTCTAAGGTTTATCCTTCCTAATCATTTCAAGAATTGCAATTCAATTCTCTGGCACCCATAGACTATACAAAAATGTTCTGGCATTCATACTTGTTCTCATACCACCCCTCCCCCTTGTGCAACTCACAGGCATATGCAGTTTGTAAATATGCCATGCAAGGGATCAGCACCATGATAAAGAAAACTGAAACACCAAGGCTCCAGTAAAAGAAATTGTATTGATAAATTTAAGCAGTCAGAATAATAAAAAGATAAGCATTCTGTGATAACAGGATGGGTTACCTGGTATCCATAATCACGAGCAATTTCAATGATGCTTTTCCGAGTGATACCAGACAGAACAGTTCCATGTGTAGCTGGAGTTGAAATAACACTACCCTGTAAAGATAGAAAATAAAGACCTAAGAACTAGTTTGTGTAAACATGATCCACCAGTAAGAGGTTTAGTGAAAAATAGTTATTGGAAAAGAAACAAATAAATGCCAAGTAGATCATTGGTGACCTGCAGATAGTACAGAAATCATTTCTCTCTCCAAGGCTACTTGTTTTTACCCTTTCCACAACCTTCTAATCAAGATTCCCTACACTACCATGTCATAGAAATTTTCTCCAATAATTTGTCTCCCTCAACTCCCAAAATCTACATTAGAGGAAATAAAAGGACCAAGTAAAAATGCATATATGGATTGCCCTAAATCCATGGAAACTTGCATATCCCACATATAAAAATGTAGAAGTTAAACAGAGATTACACAAAAGGTTTGGAACTTGATCAAAGTCCAAGTCACTGAAATCTAACTAGGGAACTTTTTGAGTGTTGTCACATTGAGAACATATAATTATATAATGGGAATCATATTGGGTACAACCAATTTGATGACAAGTAACCCAGTCTGGTTTTGATAATGAGAAGTTTGCATACAAAATGTTCTCAGTTGTAGAGAAATGAGATGCAAAGCATAACTTATGGTAATCACATTATGCATGAATTATGATGTTTAAGGAACAACTTTAATATGACATGAGAAAAGATGAAAAAAGTAACATGAAATAAAACCACTGGCTATTCAATTATCAATACCTTCACAATGAAAATGTTACAAGAAGAGACCTCCTCAAGATTTTTCTTCTTCACTGCATCAATGAAAAGGACATCAGAGAACCCTTTTGCCTTTGCTCGAGTTTGTGCCTTTAGAACCTAGACATGAGAAAAAGGGCCTTAAAATATTCATTCTCCATAACCAGGAAAATACATGTTCTTTTTTCCCCCACATGTAAAATTCCCTTGGTAAAGTGTAAGAGATGCTAAGAATCTTCACTGTTTAATGAAAGCAAAAAAATCAAAGTTAAAGATATGATTAGCAGCCAACTGTCCACTATACTGTCATTTCTCATGCCTTACTGGTAAGTCGGTTACTGGATCTTACTTACAGGTCCATAGTTAGTGATCGTTTTCACCCCTCCAGTTCCACCAGGCGTAGCACGATGGAACTCATCATCAACCACCAAATTCAAAGGTGACAAACCCTCCTATACATAGAACAATGAAGTTACTGACACTTGTATGTTTCTTAGTCAAAGCTTAACTAAACGAAAAACTGAACCCCACTTTGAAATAGTTGCCAACTGGTGAAGCATATATTAGAAACGCATAATCAGGTGCTGGGGCCAAACCCAGAACAGGTCCACTTCCTATGAGCAAAGGCCGAATATACAAAGACCCTTTCCCTGGAGGAGGCACCTGATTTCAATCAAAAACTAAAATTACAAATAGAAAAATGAAGGAATTTCAACTGCAGATATGCACAATAAAAAATTCTTTTGGAAACAAATACTGAAAACCCAAGAGGTTTCTGCTTAAAGAAAACAACATGTAAAATGGAGAGGAGTTACCCAGCGTTTGTTTGCAATAACAGTTTGCTTTACAGCATCAACAAACTGATCAACTGAGGGGGATGGCATGCACATTCTTTCAGCACCCATCTTCATGCGCAAAGCATTTTGTTCAGGGCGGAAGAGGAAGAGTCGGCCATCTTCTCTCCTGTATGCTTTTAGACCTTCAAACAGTCCCTATTTTGGAGTTTACATTTTAGAATCGGCAACAAGTTTGTAGTATCGCTTAGGCTCTATGTTAAAGTTTATGCAAAACATATTTTGTATCAAGTCTATATGTCATTTTTAAACAAGAAATTCCCCACATTTATGGGTGGCCTGATTACTGAGCAGGGAAGGATTTCCATGGAGCAACATTTTGTTCGTAACTCATGCATGGAGAAGAACTAAATCCATGCCTATTTGAATTTCAAAAGGGAAGCCAGAATTTACTGACCTGTCCATAATTTAAAACTCCAGATGATGGGCTCAATTCAATGTTTCCATAGCGATTGAGTTCACCACGTGAGAAATTCTCATTAAGAGAACATTTCATGATGTACATGTAGTCAGTTGGCACAAGGCCAAAGCCAAGTTCATCCCAATTCACATTTGCATACTTGTCTTCTCCCCTATCACTGTTATTTTTTCAAGAAGAAAGATTAGTTCCACTAGAAAAGTTTTAAAAAACCAAGTGCTGAATGGAAAAGAATAGAAGACAAACAACTTGGACATGAGTCTCTGGTAGAAACTGCACTCCAGGCCAATTCATAGGCAATGGACTCAAACAGACTATCTGAATCATTGGCATGATTGATTGAAACTTAATTCTGCTAGTTCTAATCAGGATGACAATTAGGCAATACAAGAATGTAAAATTGGATGAACAAAGAAACAGGGCCTCAAGAAACCCCATCTAATTCAAGTATCATTATGAGTAATTCAGGAAATCTTTTAAAAGTACAGAGTGAGTAATCTAGTTTAACAAGTTCCAAGAAAACAAGGTAATAATGAAATCACAAATTACAATGTCTTTCTGTAAATATTTAGGATTAACAATAAAAATTTGACAGCAGAAACATCGTAACATGCATTCAACATAATACGAAGTAAACAAACAAAACAAACCAAAAATTATTTTTATTTTTGAGCTTCCCTTTCCATATGTAAAACCAAGACGAAGGTTTCTAGCTACAAGTGATTACAGCATTGATAACTTATTGTTTAGCATGGCATTTCATAACAGTACACTTACCTGAAAGTAGCGGGTTCACTTACTGGTGAAGCCTGAGATGTGAAAGATGAATAAGCTCCAAGCTGCAAAGATACACAAAAGAGATCAATTGGGTTATGTTGTTCACTAAGACCTCATCCTTCATCTGGTCCTGATTTATAATCGAAAAGATGACAGGAATGCTGCCAAAAAGACCAACATCATGGAATGGATCAAGTATGGACTGTTGAATCACAACAGCGTAAAATTTCTAGCATAGATTTTTGAGAAGAACACCAATTATCTATTTATCTATCTAACATATTGTTTTTCATGAATTTGAAATAAACGACTGAACCAGCGTGACTTTTCACTGGGAGCATTTTATAAATCCTTTTCCCTCCTCTATTGGGAATATTCCACTCTGTCTTTTTTTTTTTTCAATGGAGCAACTTCTAGTGACCAGTTTTACCCGGTGGGTGGGGAGTGGGAGTAGAAAGTAGAAAGTGTAAAGGCATTGAAGCTCTATTAGATTTAGCGCGCGTGGGATCACTGCACAAGTTAAAGAAATGAAAGAAAAGACTCGTGAAGCACTGAAGCTGTAGCACGCAAAACAGGATCAAAACGCCAAATAAGAGAAAGTGTACCTTTTCTGGGATCAGATTCCATATCAAACTCGGACGATTGAAGATATTAAATTCAACAAAACCCAGAAAGAAGAAGACAAATGAATAAAACTAATGTTTGAAACAGAGAAGTCTTCAGGGCATTCCAAGATAATATAGAAGTTTCCAATCCAAAATTAACCCACCTTCGAATAAGTCGAAGCAAATCTGGAGAAGTTTATCAAACTGCGGAGGGCCATACTACTTGGAACCATGAATTCTCCGTTTTACTGCTGTTGCAGTTCCCACCAAAATTCAAAATTTCAAGATAGGCAGAGAGAGAGAGAGAGAGCCCGTGGGGGTATGTCGCTCCAGAGGATGTAAAGAAACCAGCACGTGAAGAGAAGAAAACCAAACTTTGGTGCAGGAAGAACAAGAAAATAAGAGGAGGAAAGCTACAAGGCATTGATAAATAATAGAAGATGATGCCGGTGGCGGCTAACATTTTGACGATGTATGGAAGAGTTGGTTAAGTAAGCACCGTTTGTGAGGACTGAATCGGAATTCCAGCACATCCACGACACAACTCATCAAAGTCTTACGGCTCTCCCGCCCGACTTTCCACGTCAGAGTCAGATTCAGATAAACGGCTGAGCAAGTGAGTCGGAGTCGTGGGCTATCAGGGTATCTCTCCTCGTCCTTCCCTGACTTCTCGCTTTCTTCTCTGATAATAAAAAGAGATTAGGCCATTTTCTTCCTAGTTCTTAGTAACTAAATACCAATGGAGTTGGAATCTCTTTCAGGCCTCATCCACCAGTCACCACTTGGCTATTGGGTGGGAGCTAAGCGGTGGAGGAGATGGATGCTAACACGTTCGCGTCAACCACCACGTTGGATCCGGGAGAAAACGTTACCTTCGCAAATCGCAATCCAACAACAAAGGGTGTGTATTTTCATCCACACCACATCTCTACGGGCATTCTATAAGGTGTGGTGCATTTCAGTTCACACTTTTTTCATACAACATTTAAAATAATTCATATCATTAATCATTAAAAAATAATATTTTATTTTTTTATAATATATATAATATAATAATAATAGTAAATGACTACGAATTTTAATAATTAATAATATTAAATAACACATAATAACATTAATATTAATAATAAATGAGAAGTAAAATTAATGATATTTTATAATATTAATAATAATATTAATAACATTTAATAATAAGTAATAATATCAATAACAATTAATATTAATAAAAGTAATATTCAAAATTTAATAATTATATAATAATATTAATATTATTTAATAATAAATAATATTTTTGCAAAAAATATTTGAAATTTGCAGAAAATTGCAGAAATTACAAGAAAATCAGAAAAAATGCAGAAAATGCATGAAAATGCATGAAATTTGCAGAAAAATGCATGGAATTTGCAGAAGGTTGCAGAAAAATGCATGAAAATACAAGAAAATCTGAGTAAGGAACAAAAGGTTCTGTGTCCATAAACCCAAAACCTAAGTACCCAAAAATTCTTCTTTTTTGCCATCACAAAATCATGTTTTGGCCTTTGAGCTGAGCCCATATATCAAATCTTCAATCCAAGCCCGCAGAAGTTGCACATCCCTGTTGAGTATTGGCCTGTATGCAGATTAGGCTGTGCTTGGATGAGAATCCCAATTTTAGGCTTTGTGGCTTGGGGCTTGTGTTTTGACTTCAGATTATAATGCTTTCTAAAGTAATTTTTACCAAATACTCAACATAAAGGCAAAAGCTTATCCAAATAGGCTACCTTCAAGGCTTTAGGAAATGATCTAAATTTAAGTTTTTTTTTTCTTTTCTACCCATGATAATTTTATATGATGAATCTGTAAATTTGAATGCTAGAGTGCCAGTATCAAATGATTTCACTTCATGCTGGTGTTCAGGTGTCCTTTTATTGTTTCCAACCGTCCATTAAGTGGGCCCCTGTATCACCTTTATGAATTAGATTATCCAAATAGTGATGACTCCTGTGAAAAGGTTTCCTAGTACCTTCCCTACACGACCAACTCTATTTCTGCAATGTGGGTGGATGGTGCAGTTGGTCATTCAAACTCCGCACCCTCTAAAGTTGCCACATGTTTAATCCACCCTTGCACTCCACTCTGTATTGATATGCACTCAAAGTTCTTAACTTCTTTATCTCTCTCTTATTTTCTATCACACCAGACATAGCCTAAACATCTTGACTAGAAAATCAGTTTCCATATTTCATTGTCTCAGATCAAGTGTTTTTGCAACATTCTTTATGAACTTTGACTAGAATAATAATGTTTATAATTAGAAAAACAAAAATAATGTTTCTAAGGTTGCATTTGACTCTCCCAGAAATAAGGCTTTTTCTCCTTGGTTGGGCAGAATACAAGGAGAAAAGGCTGGTTACTGGTTATTATCCGGATAGATGGGTAAAAGTTATAGATAAAAACTCCTTTTCCCTTATCCCTGTGAGTATGGGTCAATGGCTCAGATTTGTAATTGTTGCCGGTAAAGAAAGAAGTCAGAGCTCTTATATCTTATTTTTTACTCTTTTACCTATTTATTTGTCAGGGAGATCAAAATTCTCCAGGTATTATACCATTGGCCACCAAGGATGTATTCAGCATAATCCAAGATGTAAGTGGATCTATGAAGTTTGTAAAATTGATGTCCACCATGCTTTGAAGGTTGAAGTATGTGCATAAACTGCTTGTCTTCACCAAATTATCTTGTTGGTTTATGCCAAGAGACCCACATTTTTCTTTCTGTTTCTTATCATTTTTCCATCTGGTCTCTCTCTCTAGGTGGCTTTCCAGCTTTCAGTATGAGACTTTTAAGCCTTTGTATATATGGTTAATTGGTTTTTTTTCTATGGGATTTATCTGCTTTCTAAAATGATTTTTGTTTTGTTTGTTTATGTATATTCTGTAATGTTTTTTCCCCTCTAGCTATTGGCCATTTATATAAGGGAGAAGTACCAATCAGCCCAGATCAGAATTTTCTAAGCCCAAAGTACAGGGGAATGCATCCTGACCGTGAATTGATGTCAAATTCACGGGCAGGATGTGATTTATAGGGGGAGATGGTTAGTTGTAAGGGGGGCTGGAATTCAGAATTCTGCAACGTGTGTATCTGTACTTTTCCGTTTATATAAACCCAGTCTTAAGAGTTTTTTTTTTTTTTTGTCTTTTCTAATGATATTTGATAGAAAATAATTTCAACAAACCCAACTTTTCACAAAACTGAACAGTAGGAAAAGGCATGGAGTATAATTTGGATGACATACAGTCACATCTTATCCTATAATATTACAATGAAAACCCCTGTATCCCCAAACTAAGAATTCCCTATTGACCCCTGACTCTTAGAGTTACTATTTCTGCTTAATGCTTTTGTGAAGATTAAAAACTATTTGTTTGAAGAAAAACAACTGCATAAAACTTGGGATCCTGTTGAATCATAAAACATGTTTTAATTATATATCCAAACAACAAATTTCATTACACAACGATCAAGATCATGCTGATTTTTTACATTGTTTTTCATTCCCAAATTTTTTACCAAGTCAGCAACCCAATTTTCTTTTATAATAAATATTAGAAAACAGATATTCATTCAAGATCATGCTGATTTTTTTCATTGTAATAACTATTCCATGAGGCTCAATCTTTGGTCCAGAGGGGCGGGAAAAGTTAAGAAAAACAAAAAAGTAGAATACGAACACCAACGTATGTTTGTAGAAAAAGAATACAAAAGAAAGAAAAAGAAAAGAAGCCAAGGGTAGCTGGAGAAGGAGCACTTACCGCTGGCAGTTTGATGCAGCAAGGTTGAAGTTGCAGAAGCAAGTGAGCACTGATGGTCGGAGTTGCAGCGGCAAGCCGAGAAGCAAGCAGCCGCGAGCGGTATACTACAACGGTAAAAAAAAGGTTACATAAGATAAAATTTATAGGTGAAACACAGGATCAATGAATGAGAGTTGCGTGAAATCTATTGAGGAGATTTTAGCCCGTGGTGTAGATCAATCCATGATCGCAGGATTTGACTAACAACCGTGTTCCTCCTACAGAATGACCCCCGTATTTGGCCTTGTATCTTTGTAATTGACAATTTATTCTCACCTATTTTATTTGAAATCCACTTTAATTTATTGTTTTTAATTTGATTTAAGATATTAAATGAGATTTTATTCGTAAATAATAACATATTTATATTTGGTATTTATTATTTATCTTATAAATTTATTTTGAATTATTTATTTTTAAAAATTAAATTAAGTTACTTACTAAAAATTAAATTAAATTTGTAATTAATAAAGTATTTCATTTAAAAGAATGAAAATCATACCATTAAAAATCTTTTTAAGTAAATATATATATATATATATATATATATATATATATATATATATATCCAACTTTGTCCCCGTCGGCCATGGGATTGAATATACCACGGCTACGCAACTTCCTACCCATGGACCTTAAAAGATCATAGAGTCATGAAATTTACAAGATAGTATCATTAATTTATACAAACGGACCTTAAAAAAATCCATGAGAATTATGTTAATATCCTTGTTTGCACATTGATTGGTTTTGATATATTATTTAATGATTTGGGAGGGTGAAGTTTTTTTAGAAGAAAACTTATATTAAACTTTTAAACATGGTTACATTTATACCTAATGAAGGAAGATTTGGCCCGACCTCGTAACCATTTAACACGTGGTAAAGGTAACAGCTCGGCACAACAGCACGCCTAAGGCGCGAGCTCCGACAAGAGGAACCAGCGGTCCGAACTCTCTACAAGGAGCCCGAACTCCCCGTAAGGAGCCCGAACTCTCCCTTAGACCCCGAGCCTTACGATGACGAACTGGCCTGCCCCATGGTAGTTCGGGCCACACCTCTATCCGAACTCAACACTTCACCTCGCACACCACTCCAGCACTTCGCCTCCAAGACGCCGAACTGAACAACCACACCGTACCTGACAACAAAGGAGTCCGTATCCAGGGGCGGCGCACCTGACTGACTTGGGATCTGACGCTTGACAACCGCACTTCAACGGCCACCTGCCACCGCCATCTCCAGTTACAGAGATGGCTCCGACAAAGAGAGCAGTGGCGGTTCTGCCCCAACAGAGGTGATGACACCCGAACTGGCAGAAGCGCAGAGGCAATCATACCCGACCT